TTTCACTGACAGCCAAAGACCTTCTTATTCAGGAAAGCTTTAAGCAGTTAAGAACCTCAAATCAGAAAATTTTAGGTGATGTACTGGTTTTCTCTTTTTTTAAGGCAATTTCATATTTTATTTTAATCAAGAGATTTTAATATACTTTCATTTTAATTGTATTTTAATAACAATAAATGTAATTCTATGTCATTGTTTGCAATGTTATTGCAGTTTAACTTTCCATTGTTTTTAATTGTATTATAAGCAGCTCTGTGTCTCAATTCTGGAAGAAAGGCAGTATATAAATAAAATAAAATAATAAAACACCAGAAAACCTCAATTTTTGCAATTATATTAATATTATATTACAGTGGTGCCTTGCTTAACAGGCGCCCCGTTTAACGACAAAATCGCATAGTGATGAAGATTTTGCGATCGCATTGCGATCTTTTAAATGGGGAAAAATCGCTTTGCGATGATCGGTACCCTGTTTTGCTTACCGATCATCGCAAAGCGAAGATTTTTCAACAGCTGGTCGGCGGTTCCAAAATGGCCGCCGGCTAAAAAAAATGGCAGTGCGCTGTTTTCTGGGACGGATTCCTCGCTTATCGGGCAGTGAAAATGGCTGCCGTATGGAGGATTTTCACTTTAAGGTGAGTCTGAAGCCCATAGGAATGCATTGAAGGGGTTTCAATGCATTCCTATGGGCTTTTTAATATCGCATAGCGATGAAATCGCTTTGCAGTGATTTTTGCTGCACCGATTATCGTCGCTATGCGAGGCACCACTGTATTATCAGTTGAGTGCTTCATATTTTGACAGATGTATTTTACTGAAGATCAAGGACTCCCTCTTCTACTTTGTAACCATAACTTATTTTAAAGCTATTACATTTTATCATGGTGGTGTTGTATTTTAACTGGCTGAAATTCTATTATTAAATTAAGATATCAGCATAGTCATTTCCTGTCACATGGCTCAGTGTATCATAGGAAATGCCTACTCTGATTTCTTAACTTGATGCAGTTTTCTGTTAAAGGTTATGCTGCTGCTGTTTTGCTAGTGGAAATACACAAAAGCATTCTGGCCGATATATTTTAAAATGTCCTGTTGTAGAGGGAAAAAAGCAAAAAGTATTTTTCAGATCTCCAGAATGATAATGGTACTCATGCATAACATTGCTAGTGGAAAATAATAAACAACTGTACATATTTTATAACAAACTGCCATTGTTGGAAAACAATCACTGTTCAGTTCAGTGATACAGTATCTGCATCACTGATATTTAGAGCAAAGACCTTTCCTAGCTCTAGATATTGGGAATTGATCCTGGGAACCAAAGCTCATCCTCTACCACTGATTTATAGCCATTTTGTCAGTCTCTTTCATACAGTTTAAATAAGTTAATATATTGGCTGAAATCTTTTTGCTTACCTTAAGAAAATTTATAACATATAGTATATTATAGTATACTGTATTCCTAGCCAGCAAAGAAAGAGTTACTGTGAGGATTCTCAGGGGTGTGCAAATATGCTCGTCTGAGGTGTGTACATGTGCCCCCAAGAATTGCGATGGGGTCTATTCCTGGCCAGGTAGGAATGGATTGAATGTTGCATATTTTTTTCTTACATTAAATAGCAGGATTTCAGCCACTGTATACTTACCAATTTTTATAGTATTTGATTGTCCGATTGTCCTTAGTCCTTATGACCAAACATTTCCCATATTCAGAAAAGCCTTTAATACTAGCCCAATTTAATGTTTTACTTTCTGTGCTCCTGGTGGTGAGATACTATGGAGTACTCTATCAAGAATGTTTAGTGAGAAAGTGGAAACTGATGCACAAATTCTATTAAACTGGTCCTTCTACTGTAATCTTTGTGAAGAATTCTTTTTATCTGTTTTTCAGAAATGTCCAGGTCAGCACAATTTTGTATTTCATTTTTTCTTTCTGAGTCGAACCCCATATTACCAACAAACTGGTCTGATTTTGTACAGCTGCCATAATTTGCCACAGTTCTCTGCAAACACAGTAATTTTTGTGTGTTTTGGATACTAGTTATATACTATATAGTTGCAGTGCTTAATGTGATATATATTGCATATTTTTGTTCTGTACTGTATGATATATTTAATATTGGTTTTTGACCATAACAATCACATTATAGTAATTACATTACTTTTGACCAGTTATCTTAAACCACTTCTTCTGTATCTCAGATGCTGGTGCTCAGTACTGAGTCCAGGAAGCTGCTAAATGTTATGCCTTTTCTTCTTGTTGCAGATGTTCCTGTTGAGAAGCTGGCCTCCATGGAGTCTCTCCAGAGTGTGAACCTGAAGTCAAACCCTTTAAATGAGGAAGTCCGGGTGATTGCCAGACCACTGATTAAGTTTGACCTCCTGACATCTCCAGCCATTCCCCATGTTTGAAACATGGCAAATGTGGGTGTATAGCTGTATCTGGTCATAGCTATATTGAGAAATCGATGCAGTGTTTGCTGAGCTAGAAAGCTACCATAGCTTGGCTGAAGTGCCGCTGCTCCTGCATGTATTAGATTTCATGGGCTCCCAGAGTAATTGGAAGCAGGATGTTTTTGTCAGTGACTCTTGAAAAGAAAATCTTTGCTGGACTGTGGACATGTTAGAAGCACAGAGTGCCTCCAAAAAAAAAAACCCCCGCTGATGATCTTTTAAATTGTTATAGGAGAACAGTTTTCCAAGGACAAAAAGTCTTCTCTTAGACACTGTCGTGCAGAGGAAAAACAAGGACAGAAATGGAATACAGTGTTCACCACATCCAGTGAATTTAGAGCAGGAGTGACCATTAGATTTTAGGGTGGGAGTGACCAGCTAGATAACTGAGGGATGACTAACCAAGGATGGCCAACTCATGTACCTCATGAAGACGTTGCAGCGTCTACTCGGTACTAGATGGAAATGCTACTCACCATTGCACTTGTTTTTGCACAAGAAAACTAATTTCAAAAGGTATGTGTCTGACTGGCACACGCTTAAAATATTAGATCTTTTCAGGATTTGTACCTACAAGCCAGTGGGTCCTCATTGTTTTATTAGAGTGATCACGGTGTCTGGCAACATACCCAACATACCCAGTGTCTGAAAACTTACGTGGCCATCCAGAGCATCAAATGTCACCAGTTAGATTAGCGACTTCATAAATATGTGAGTGTAAATACAATTATAGGACAAGTCACTATTTCACTATAGGAAGTAATTTCCACTTTTGAAGAAGAGTTTCCTTAAATCTGCTATATTTGATTTTTCAATGAATTTCAGATCCAGTACCACATGAAATCAGAAAAACCTGTTCGTGATTGTACATATCTTCTTTACAAATGGCCTTCAACCATCCTTTTCTAAAATAACAGATTACTATTCCTTGTAGGCTGTTCTTGCGTGAACAACTGAATAATTGTTTTTGTTTTCCTTCTTTAATATACTGTTTCTAGCTGATATTCTTTCCTCACTTTTTCTTTTTGCAGTGGTGCAGCCAAGCTCATATAAAGTATATTCAGCTTGGTATCATATCACTATTTGCCAGAGATGCAAAAAAATATTTTTTCCAAAAATACACCTTCTAGAGTTACTGCTTCATGGTACAGTGGTTAAACTGCAGTACTGCAACAAAAACTCTGCTCAAGCGTGAGTTCAATCCTATGTAATCTACTTGAGGTTGACTCAGCCTTCCATCCTTCCAAGTTTGGTAAAATGAGTAACCAGCTCATGCAGAGGTGTGTGTGTGTGTGTGTGCGTGTGCGTGTGCGCGCGCGCGCAATCCTATGTAATCTACTTGAGGTTGACTCAGCCTTCCATCCGTTTGGTAAAATGAGTAACCAGCTCATGCTGAGGTGTGTGTGTGTGTGTGCGTGTGCGTGTGCGCGCGCGCGCAATCCTATGTAATCTACTTGAGGTTGACTCAGCCTTCCATCCGTTTGGTAAAATGAGTAACCAGCTCATGCTGAGGTGTGTGTGTGTGTGTGAAGTGTGTTGTCTGCATAATTGAATTGTAAACCACCCAGAGAGTGCTTTAAGCACTATGGGACGGTATATAAGCAGCACACTTTTAGGATCACCCATGTTGGCTGTCAGATTTTAAGACGTAGTTCAAAAATAGACCTTATCCATCTCTCCTTTCTGCAGGGATATCTTGAAAACTATGAAAGTGTGTCATACACTTAAAAAATCTCATGTGAGATATGTGAAGAGAGGACTCCTAGGGATTGCAGTGTGTTCCTGTTCATAGTGTAGTCTTTGTGGAATGTGACTGTGGATGAGAGATGTTAATTTCCCTTGGGGTTACACATTATTTTCTCTCATTTTCTCCTGTGGAGGAAGTTAGGAGGGTCCTTCAGGTGTGGTCTGGATCTGCCTTAGCTGCAGTGATCCCAGCCTTTGCAAACCAAGGAAGTCTACTCCTTTCCACATACATTTTCTTGAACATAACCATGTGTGTGGTCTCTTTCTTGGTTACCCTAGAACAGTGGTTCCTAACTTTGGGCAATCAAGGTGTTCGTGAACTGCAGTTCTCAGAAGCCTTCACCACCAGCTGTGCTGGTTGGGTTTTCGGGGAACTGCAGTCCAAGAACACCTGGGTTACCCAAAATTGAGCACCACTGCCTTAGAGCAAAAATAAGAAACATTTCTGGCCCCAAGACTACATTGCCATAGTGGAAGCCTGCCAGGGCCAATATGTCGACAAGTCAGAGGCCAAAGTGTTAGGGCTATGGCCATATTCCATCTCTGGGTGTGACTTTCTTAATTTACTCTGCCTTGCATGTGCCCACATACATATCCATTCACATTCTCACACACTTTACTGGGTTAATGAAACAGGACACTCCATCTTAGTTTCCCCAGCCATGTCAGCTTCCTTACTCTCAATGCAGAACACAGCTTCCTTCACAGCCAGAAAGGAAACCGTAAGGATGACAAATAAGGGATGGGATACCCAGCTTTCCCAGGCTGGTTGCCTCGCCCTCTCCCACTTTTGCTCAGCTTCCCACGGAGCTGAGCAACAAGCCAGGAGTCAGGATTGAAGGGTTAAAAGTCCTCTTTACAAAGCTGTGAGAAACTGGATATGTATTACTGTACTGGAAAAATACTGGACTGAGTCTTTGTCCACAGAGCAGCAACAAAACATATATTTATAAATGCTCCTGGTTTTGTAAAGAGCCTTTTAGAAAACTGCATGAACTCACTTTTGGGATTTGATTAACTGGAGCACTGTGGCTTGCCCTTAGGGCTGAAGCTTGTTTTCCTGTTTCACAACTTTGTTTTCTTCTCTGAGTGTTGTATCATTTGGGGGTTTATTGGAAACGGTTCTTCTCCTGTAGGCTATTGTTCCCCTCCCTCTGGTTCTCTCCTGCAATGTGTGTGGTGATTGGCAGGCTAAAGTGACTTGTTGCTTTGAAACATAAACAGCCCCAGCCTTTGAAACCCAACGCTCTTGATACAAGCTGTATGGAAATGGATGATGTATTTTATAGCAGTGGGATTTAAAACACAAAGAGGGAAAATGTTGTGTCTTTGGCCTAACTAACTTCTCGGAGGGCACATAGCATGCCTGTGGCTATCTAAATTTACTTGTTATCTATGATGGCTTGTTCCAAATGCGAAAACACCCAACATATTTAGTTCAAATTTGTCATATGCCTGACCCCACTCAGCATACCATATTTATGCCCTAGAAAACAGGCCTAAACACCATCTCCTTCACCAGTGTACAAGCTGCTTGTCAAGGTCTTCCTTCTTTTAGATGCCAAGGCTAAATTCAGACCTTTCACAGCTGCTGCCTTTTACTTTCTGGCACTATCCCCTGTACTCCATTTTCGTTCTTCTTTTGTGACCTCATGATTATTTTTATTTTGCTTGCTCCGAGACTACTGAATTTAGCCTGGTGACTTCCTCTCCTTAGCAACATCTGATTTCCTCATTCCCATACATGATGGCCAAGCGACATCCAGCCTTGTCCTTCTGTATAGAGCACCCTGTCATCATGCATCAGCTGTTGAGCAGGAGTGGCAGCAGTGGTACAACTCCTCCGAGTCGCCTTTTTGAGGCTCTCAAGTATCGTTCCCCACCCCTCCTGCACTTCAACGTTTGGTGTGCCGCATGGTCCTTCTTAGTCCTCTAAACTAGCCTTACTCCCACAGGTATGATGGAGTGAAGTAATATTCAGCTGGCAGTCCAGTCAGCTTCTGTGCATGGAATGGACCTTCTTGTCCTTTGCCTCAGGCAGCAGAGTGTCTTGGGCCAGCCTTGCCTTTCTTTCTTTTTTTCTCTCTCTCTCTTGTGTGGGTGTTTTAGAAAAAATGAACCATCTTGCCTTACGTACGGCAATTTCCCCTCATTTCCTCTCCTCCCCATCTTCTACTCTTGGACACATGGAAGACAACCACCCTCTTTTGGCTAGAAGAATTCTGCATGTTGAAGACATTTCTGTTTTTATAGGAGAGAGAGTGGGATTGTTATACTTTATTGTTGTACCTTTTAAAACAATGTGGGAAGGAGGGGGTCTCAGTTTCTGTAATAGGCACTGGGTTCTGCAAAATGATACAAATTTGAAATAAAACAGTCATATGGTGTTGCTCCACTGTTTTTTTTCCCCAGTCACATTTATGATTTGTATAGCAAATAGACATTTTATTCAAAAAATATAATGTTCACATTTTACTCATCTTTTAAACACAACAATTTCTGTGCTTTTACCAGAAGAGGAAATAATAGGTCTGTGCAGAGGCACCAGAAAGCAAAGGCTGTACCAAATGCTGCCACACAGCTGTGTCTTGCAGGAGGAACCTTTTAAGAAGTGAGAACATGGGCTTGAATTCCTATCAGATAAAAAGGCCTTTATATTTGCTATTAGGATGCACATTTTTCACTGTATTTTATCCATTATCAGGGCTTTGCGGAGGCTGAAATGCCTGCCTGCTTTCCTTGGATCAGATGCAAAGAATTATTTCAGCTGTCATTTTAAAGATGAAGAAATCATTAATAATGCATTCACTCTCAACTATAAAAAAGAGCTGTATGTTTTAGAGTGGTACTCAGAACTATTGTTCAACCTTCCTGGTTCAGCCAGAAGACGCTCAACTTGTATCATGGCTACTTTAAGGATTTTTGCTGTTGCTGTTAGATAGAAAAACAATTATCTGATAATGTGTCTCCCCTCCTTCCTATGTGGCTCTTTGCATTTAGTAATTCAGGATCATTAAAAGCACATCCTTGCCCAGTACTGTCACAATTGGAAGTGACTAGGTGCAACTCTGTTTACTCTCAAGAAGTTGCATGTTGGATGAAGATGACCTCCTTGGATTTCCTAGACTGTCCTTTACCTGGTCTGTTCTGCACTCCCTTCCCTTTGATCTTAGATTGTTATTCTTAGGGCTGCTAATGTAACTTCCTTCCCTCTCACATCTTTCTCTTGCCCTTCCAAGGAGATGTTGTCTTTGTTCTCTAGTGATGAAAAGGGCAGACAAACTTCTGGACATGTTCAACTTACCTAGAACTGGGACTTCTTTCACCTTTCCTATCAGAAGAATACTTCTTTAATAAACTTAAGCTTTCTTATTTTCTTAGAAAGGAGTACGGATGCAATTTCTTCCCAAAGGGGACGGAGGACAGGGAGGTGTGCCCAAGTAATTATTCTGAGTTTCAGAAGATTGAATTCATAAGTTAACATTGCTCTTGTGCCACTACAAGCTTAGTCTTTCACAGTCACAAATAACTTTTCAGAGTCAACAGTGGAATGCACAAGTGACTCACTCGCACAATAGTGGAGCAGGACTTCGGTGGCCTATCCCAAGGAGATCTTTGAAAAGTTAATTTCAAGTTATGGCTTCCAGAATCCTCCAACCAGCACAGCCATGGCTGTGATGGCTGAAGGATTCTAGGGGTTGTAGTCCAAATTTTTTTTAAAAAAAATCAGGCACTCTTCACATCACCAGACTAACCATTGTATCTGGGAGTAACAGGGAAACAAACTCTATAATATAATGTTAATAATTAGATAGGTGTCATGCTTGATTTCTTTTGGTCTTGAACAAAAGCTAGCAACTATGAGAGGTCAGGTCAATTTTCTGCCCCTGGATCTTGTTGGGAGCCAAATTCATTGGTAAAAATTTTGAAAAGAAACCAGAAAGGGCTGAAACTCCGTGTCTGGTTTGAAAAACAGGTATTTTGGGTGGTGAGCTTTCTATTAGGAACCTGTGGGTTATTTTAAAAGTGAATGGTTGCTTCTGGATGTTTCACAAATTCATCGAGGGAGGGGAGCTTGGATAAAAACCTAAGCGGAGGGTGCACCACAGTGTTGAGAATGTTCAAAAACCACACTGAGGGGACTCATGCTTTGCCCAGCTGTAGTCTAGAAAAAGAAATGCCCTTACATATTTCTTTAGTTCTGACTTTGAAACAGTTAAGGTGACTGTAGGCAGTTCTTATATGCTTTTGCACTTCATTAAACGTTAGGGAAAAATTAACTTGACAAACATCAAACTTAAATTATACGCTCTACAATTGTGCAGAGATCTTATTGAATCTTGGTTCACCTGCATATGAGCTGCAAAGATCTGCTGTGTAAGTGGAAGAGCAGCCTGTGTAACAATATGACCTCATATATTTCTTTAGATGGATTTTTCACCATCCTTTCATTTCCAGAGCTATTGTCTACCATTACCAGCCAGTCCACGACCTGTAATGATGTGTGTCCCACACCTAAGTTTCTCTATAAATGATATTGCAGGA